ATTCTCCCCCTTTTCTCTCCCCATTATTCCACGTTGAGTTTTCCCCCTTATTCTGGTGTGTTTAGTTTCCTATCATTGGGTGTTACTTCATCATTGGGTTTTAAGTTTATTCATCATTGGGTGTTACTTTATCTGGGGTGTTTTCCCCATATCGGTTGTAGTTTCTTATCATCTGGGTGTTATTTCATTGGGTAGTTTTTGTTTTTCTTCATTGGGTAGTTACTCTATCATTGTTTTTTAGTTTTTCTATTCATCTGGTGTAGTTATCTCATCATCTGGAGTATTACTCTCACAAAGGTTAGTTATTCCATTGGAGTAGTTACTCTCATCCTTTTTTTAATTTTTTTTGTAGTTATTCATCTTGGTAAAATTATCTATCATTTGGGTAGTTATCTTCATTGGGGGGTGTTTTTCCCTATCTGGGGTGTTCTTCAAATTTGGGGGTTATTCATATCTGGTGTAGTTACTCTCATTTATCTGGGTGTAGTTACTCTCATCATTCTGGTGTTTGTTACTCTCATCTCTGGTGAGTTACTCTCATTCCTGTGTAGTTACTTCATATCTGGTGTAGTTACTTCTTCATTTGGTAGTTATCTCATATCTGTGTAGTTACTCTCTCATCTGGTGTAGTTACTTCATCATTTTGGGTTTTAGTTACTCTAATCATCTGGGTAGTTACTCTATATTGGTTGTAGTTACTCTATCTTTTGGTGTAGTTTCTCTCATCATTGGTGTAGTTACTCTATCATCTGGTGTATTTTACTCATCATCTGGTGTAGTTACTTCATTTATCTGGGTAGTTACTCTCATTCATCTGGTTTTAGTTACTCTCATCATCTGGTGTAGTTATCTCATCATCTGGTGTAGTTCTCTCATTCTCTGGTGTTAGTTACTTCATTCATCTGGTGTAGTTACTCTCATCATCTGGTGTAGTTACTCTCATCTTGGTGTAGTTATCTATATATGGTGTAGTTACTCTCATTCTGGTGTAGTTACTTCATCATCTGTGTGTTACTCTCATCATCTGGTGTAGTTACTCTCATCATCTGGTGTAGTTACTCTCATCTCCTGGTGTAGTTACTCTCATCATCTGGTGTAGTTACTCTCATCATCTGGTGTAGTTACTCTCATCATCTGGTGTAGTTACTCTCATCATCTGGAGTAGTTACTCTCATCATCTGGTGTAGTTACTCTCATCATCTGGTGTAGTTACTCTCATCATCTGGTGTAGTTACTCTCATCATCTGGTGTAGTTACTCTCATCATCTGGTGTAGTTACTCTCATCATCTGGTGTAGTTACTCTCATCATCTGGTGTAGTTACTCTCATCATCTGGTGTAGTTACTCTCATCATCTGGTGTAGTTACTCTCATCATCTGGAGTAGTTACTCTCATCATCTGGTGTAGTTACTCTCATCATCTGGTGTAGTTACTCTCATCATCTGGTGTAGTTACCTCATCATTCATCTGTTGTTAGTTACTCTCATCATCTGGTGTTTGTTACTCTCATCATCTGGTGTAGTTACCTCATCATCTGGTGAGTACTCTCATCTGTATTACCATCATCTGGTTGTAGTTACTCTCATCATCTGGTGTAGTTACTCTCATCATCTGGAGTAGTTACTCTCATCATCTGGTGTAGTTACTCTCATCATCTGGTGTAGTTACTCTCATCATCTGGTGTAGTTACTCTCATCATCTGGTGTAGTTACTCTCATCATCTGGTGTAGTTACTCTCATCATCTGGTTGTAGTTACTTCACATCCTGGAGTAGTTACTCTCGTCTCCAGTGTAGATACTCTCATCATCTTGGAAGTAGTTAATCTCTTCTCTGGTGTAGTTACTTATCATCTGGAAGTAGTTACTTCATTCTGGTGTAGTTACTCTCATCATCTGGTGTAGTTACTCTCATCATTTGGTGTAGTTACTCTCATCATCTGGTGTAGTTACTCTCATCATCTGGTGTAGTTACTCTCATCATCTGGTGTAGTTACTCTCATCATTCTGGGTGTAGTTACTCTCAATCAATCTGGTTTTGTAGTTATACTCTCACATCTGGTGGTATTTACTTCATTCATCTGGTGTAGTTTACTCTATCATCTGGTGTAGTTACTTCTCATATCTGGTGTAGGTACTTCATCTTGAGTAAGTTACTCTCATCTCTGGTGTAGTTATCTCATAGCTGGAGTAGTTACTCTCATCTCCTGGTGTTAGTAGTTACTTCATCATATGGTGTAGTTACTTCATCATTGGTGTAGTTACTCTCATCAATGGTGTAGTTCTCTCATCTCTGGTGTAGTTGTAGTTACTCTCATCATCTGGTGTGTTACTCTCATCATCTGGTGTAGTTACCTCTCACATCTGGTGTTGTTGTTACTCTATCGGTGTGATATGTGATATTCTATTAAGTTTTGGCAAGATCAGTGTATTTTAACACACAATTGTTAGGCGGAGCTGCGTACTGCCGCTGGAATGTGACCTTCCCTGAGAGCATGTGGCACAATTACTACAGGATGCCAGACCTGCTTTGTTGCTTGTGATGGTGATCGTGAGGTGTGCTGGCAGCCCACGCCACCCCACAAATGGACAACATTGTTCATCCCTTCACTGGCCCATCTACACTCACAGGTATTGCTGCCTCTTTATTAACTGGTGGTAAGTATTAATCTTTATTCAGACCTAACTTTTGCTAGAAGTTATTTGACTATTTTTTAAGTAAACTATCTAGAACTGGAGAAAAATTTTAAGTTCTGCCATGAATGATATAGAAATATCATGATACAGTCAGACTTTTGTTCCTAGTGTCGCAGGTTCCATTATTTAATATTGTTGTTGTGAATTATTGAGGATTAAATTAAGTAATTATGGGGTTATTTTGGGCCCTTTTTTTCGTGCTTGAAACACATTCCCTAAATTAAAAAGTGGTAATAAAATTATATTTCAAAAAATGTGATCAGTGCATTTCCTTACATCTAAATTTAATTTCTGATCATTTTACGAACGTCAATATTATCCAGATTAGTGATAACTGAAGACATGTGTTTTCTTAAATGTAAAACTGGCCCAAATATGAATATCTTTTATTTGTTTATATTGCACGAGCCATCTCCCACTGATGTAGGGTGACACTAAAGACGAAACACATTCACTATCGTTCATTCATTAGTTGTCTTATCAGTTGTGTACAATTCAAATGACCCTCTGATTTGTAGCAATCCCACCCTTTTTTCATAATCCTGGCATTGTAACTCCACCTCCAGGACTCGAGTCCAGCAACTACTTTCCCATGAACATCTTCGTACATGCTCACACTCCAACAGCATTTCACACTATGAAAACCCTTGGTCTGCACTCACTCTGATTTAACTTGCTCACAAAAGCCTGCTGGATAATCAAACTCCTAGCACTCAAAAACACATACCCTGTCCTGGGATGACCCCTTTCCATTCCTTCCTTCCAATCTAGATTGATGCACTCTCTTGCTCATCCTGTTCTGCCCATCCTTTATAAATTTCCAAGCCAACAAAAAAATTTTTTATTTGGATATAATTTTGAATTATTTGCTCATTCTTTTTCCTGTACTTGGAATTCTCTGGATGTTATTCACACCACATGTTGCTCTTAAACATATCTTCACTGCCTCCAGCCTTCTACTGGCTGCAGGATTTAAGCCACACACATCTAAAAATGTTGCTACCACTATACTCTTGTACATTCCTTATTTTTTTCCTCTGTAAATAAATTTCTTTCCATAGATATCTAAACACACATCCATCTTTTTTCCTTCATTTAATATATAGTTCGCTTCGTGTTTCGTAGAACTAGCTACTAGCACGTTGACTCACGAATACTGAAACACTTACTTCATCCATTCTCATACCCTCCAATCTCGTATTCAGTCTAGCATTGCCTAGACTTTTTTCTGTCCTCGTCATATTGCTCTTTTCTATGTTCTCCTTTTCTTCTCCTTCTTTTGCATAACCTCTCACGTTCATCTAACAACCTTTGTAACTGGTCTTCAGAATCCGTTAAAGGAACTGTGTCATCAGCAGAGAGCAACTGTGATAACTTTTTTTTTTTTTTTTTTATTCGCCGGGATTCTCCCGGCCCGGGTCTTTTCCAAGTAGTGGAACTTCCCACTTTCTGTAAGATCCAATACGAAAATAAAAAGGAAATTATTATTATTATTATTGTATATTATTATTATCATTATTGTTATTATTATTATTATTATTATTATTATTATTATTATTATTATTATTATTATTATTATTATTATTATTATTATTATTATTATCAAAGAATTATGTTTAAGTCACTCTTCATAATATTTGAGGTCATATATAATAATTAAGCTGCTGGTGGTTCTTTTAAAGCTTGAGGAAGAAAGAGGCGATAACTTGAGTGTTGGTGAGGTTGGTGTGAGTGTGAGTGGGTCGTCCATCGCCACAATAATGTACACCTCGGGGTCAACAGGGTACCCAAAGGTGTGAGGTTGTCTCACAGAGCAATACTCAACCGTTTGTCATGGCAGTGGAAGACCTTCCCTTACCAAGGGCAAGAGGTAAGTCCTCTTTATTGTATACTAACCCTTCAACGAAAGTTCCTTAATGATGTTAGGAGCTTTGATTGATACCGATTGTCTTCTTATGGTAATTATTATTTATGTAATTATTTATGAAGCACTTGTTTGGTGCAAAACTTGGTAAGTGATGTGGACAAGTGGTTTAACGAGACGCAGGAGCAAACACCAGCACATATTACACAATGTTGTAGTCCTGAACCTTGATCTAAACAAGTGAGTTTTGTCATAAATATGCCCTATTGTTTGTTCACTGTGTTATTAAACCACAACACTTATACTGTTATTAAACCACATCACTTATACTGTTATTAAACCACATCACTTATACTGTTGTTAAACCACATCACTTATACTGTTATTAAACCACATCACTTATACTGTAGATACTAAGAGCCACTTGAGAGCTATGTTAGTTACCTAGAGTTTTTTTTTGTTTTATTTAAAACATTACATTACATTAAATAAATAAAATAACACAGATCCTGATCTTCCACAGAATTATAATCCTCCATTGATTAAAATATACCGCACGTACAACTTGGTGCAGGCACATGCTACTCCCCCTCCCCCGCACGTACAACTTGGTGCAGGCACATGCTACTCCCCCCCTCCCCCGCACGTAAAACTTGGTGCAGGCACATGCTACTCCCCCTCCCCCGCACGTACAACTTGGTGCAGGCACATGCTACTCCCCCCCCCCCGCACGTACAACTTGGTGCAGGCACATGCTACTTCTCCCCCTCCCCCGCACGTACAACTTGGTGCAGGCACATGCATACTCCCCCTCCCCCGCACGTACAACTTGGTGCAGGCACATGCTACTCCCCCTCCCCCGCACGTACAACTGGTGCAGGCACATGCTACTCCCCCTCCCCCCGCACGTACAACTTGGTGCAGGCACATGCTACTTCCCCCTCCCCCCGCACGTACAACTTGGTGCAGGCACATGCTACTCCCCTCCCCCCCGCACGTACAACTTGGTGCAGGCACATGCTACTCCCCCTCCCCCCCGCACATACAACTTGGTGCAGGCACATGCTACTCTCCCCCTCCCCGCACGTACAACTTGGTGCAGGCACATGCTACTCCCCCTCCCCCGCACGTACAACTTGGTGCAGGCACATGCCTACTCCCCCTCCCCCGCACGTACAACTTGGTGCAGGCACATGCTACTCCCCCTCCCCCGCACGTACAACTTCGTGCAGGCACATGCTACTCCCCCTCCCCCGCACGTACAACTTGGTGCAGGCACATGCTACTCCCCCTCCCCCGCACGTACAACTTGGTGCAGGCACATGCTACTCTCCCCCTCCCCCGCACGTACAACTTGGTGCAGGCACATGCTACTCCCCCTCCCCCCGCACGTACAACTTGGTGCAGGCACATGCTACTCCCCCTCCCCCGCACGTACAACTTGGTGCAGGCACATGCTACTCCCCCTCCCCCGCACGTACAACTTGGTGCAGGCACATGCTACTCCCCCTCCCCCGCACGTACAACTTGGTGCAGGCACATGCTACTTCCCCCTCCCCCCGCACGTACAACTTGGTGCAGGCACATGCTACTCTCCCCTCCCCCGCACGTACAAATTGGTGCAGGCACATGCTACTACTCCCCCTCCCCCGCACGTACAACTTGGTGCAGGCACATGCTACTCCCTCTCCCCCGCACGTAACAACTTGGTGCAGGCACATGCTACTCCCTCTCCCCCGCACGTACAACTTCGTGCAGGCACATGCTACTCCCCCTCCCCCGCACGTACAACTTGGTGCAGGCACATGCTACTCTCCCTCTCCCCCGCACGTACAACTTGGTGCAGGCACATGCTACTCCCTCTCCCCCCGCACGTACAACTTCGTGCAGGCACATGCTACTCCCTCTCTCCCCGCACGTACAACTTCGTGCAGGCCAACTGCTACTCCTCTCCCCCCGCACGTACAACTTGGTGCAGGCACATGCTACTCCCCCTCCCCCGCACGTACAACTTGGTGACAGGCACATGCTACTCCCATCTCTCCCCCGCACGTACAACTTGGTGCAGGCACATGCTACTCTCCTCTCCCACCCACGTACAACTTGGTGCAGGCACATGCTACTCCCCCTCCCCCGCACGTACAACTTGGTGCAGGCACATGCTACTCCCCTCCCCCGCACGTACAACTTGGTGCAGGCACATGCTACTTCCCCCTCCCCCGCACGTACAACTTCGTGCAGGCACATGCTCTACTCCCCCTCCCCCGCACGTACAACTTGGTGCAGGCACATGCTACTCCCCCTCCCCCCACCTTTCTTTTCCTCCCTCTACACCTATTCTAATTACACGGTTACACAGGATTATACTTTACTTCAACAAACAAGATTGCAATATACATTAATATTTCAGAAGTTGTACTTATCACCTGATTTAGTTCATCACCATCCACTAAAAGCTTGTACAATCTACGCCCACTAGTCATGGTTTGGGTTCCTCGTAGTACATCATTGCCATTACACTACGCGGTTCATTAAACACACATAACACTTTTTTAGACCAAAACTACCTATTCCAAACTCAATCCCTGCACAACCTTGTGGGGAGCCTCCGCCACCCCGGTTGTGTTTTCACCCATCCACCTAATCCCAACCCAATTATAGTATAGAATACAATGACATAATATTGAACATTATCATGAACACAAAGATTTTACATATGTACATACATTAGTCATATTAAAAAATCACAAGTAAAGCATTTCTCAGACCATTTACCTGATTGTACCCCTCACCCCTTACACCTCTTGACCCCCCACAAATGCTGCCACCCTACTCATCCATCCCCTGATGCACGTAAATCCTTCACAAAAATAGACCACATGATACTCAGTCTCCTTCTCTCCACATGTACCGCACCCCCCCACCCCACCCTCCCACGACCCCCTATTCCTGAGCATCGCTTCAGACGGCAAAATGCCATGCAGGAAACGATACATGTCCTCAAGCGCCCTAGGTCTTAGCCTTAATTTGCTGAATCGTCACCACATTCATCCCACACGTACATAGGGTAAATCCCTACCCACTAACATTTTACACAAAATTCCCACCCTTGCTTTCCCAGGTTTCCTAGCTAACACTAATGCACTAACTCCTCAGTTGATCATGTACCGTATCTAGCTCCCCTCTCCTTCCTCCAACACGCATCACTTCCCTCTTAATGGACACACATTTTACATGCCTTCGCAGGTCAAACAATCCTATCCCTCCTTTACGTACCGGTAATGCCACTACCTCCCTTCACAACCATCGCACAAGAACCCCACAAGAAATTTTTAAAAACCTGAAATACTCATAATCGTCGTTCCTGTCAACAGCAAACACGCCAATACAAACCAGACTTACTACATAATAATGTGGAAAATATTGTATATTTTCAAAATACGTGTATTCTTATGCAAATTTATGGAATAATTGCAGGTAAAAAAAATTAATTTGAAAATTTTAATAAAGAAAACCCAAAAAATTGGTGAGCGTCGTGGGGGTAGGAGAAGCCCGGTTTTTTAACTGGGCAAAGACACGCGGGAAATGTCAAAATTTCGTCGCTCTGGAGGGTTTAAAATTTTGTTGAATCCTCCCAAATAGGACAGAAATTTTTGGAATTGCAGCCTGCATAAAATTGAAAAGGCGGAGTGGAAGGGGCAGCCCGGGAAAAAACCCCGCTAAGTGATGTCTAATTTTTGTTGAAATTTCTGGCCAGTCTTTCTTCAACTTTTGGGAGGGGTTTTGTGTAGTCACACCAATAATCTCCAACTAATTTGGTGGGGTTTTTATTTAAATTCTCCCTTTAATGTATATGTTTTCCTTTTTTTAAAAATTAATTACAGTCCAAATAGTTATTTAAAAGTTGTATCAGAATTCCTGGTGAGTGGGGAAATTTTCCCCGGAGGGGGGTTTTCACCCCCTTAGCCCCTTTCAGCCTCTCAGAAGGGCAACCAACTGTTTAAATGCTCAGCAAGAATTTATCCCCAAATGCAATACAGTAGTATGTGGTCAAGGGGACCCGCAGCTCCTTTCAAAAGCCAGCGTTGAAAATGTATTTAAGGGCATCCATCTCTTTCCTTTGAGGAAATTTTAAAGGAAAATCCTCTTTCCCCTTTTTTTTCCATGGTAATAGTGGACTTTTGTCTATGCTTAAGACAGCAAAAAATCAAACAATCTGCTTTTTTCAGGGGGAAAGTTTTTGGGAAGGGAAACAAAAAGTCTAGGGCAGCTTTTCCTTTTGTTTAGGGGGCATTTCAGCAGTGAGGTGTTGGAGGTAGTTATTTTTTACCCCATGGGGTTCCCCTGACGCCCCGGATAACAAAAAAAGAACACTGATCCGTGCATTAGTGTGAACAAAGTGTCTCACAAAACACAATAAACACTTACAGAGAAGTGTGATCAGCTTCTTTAGTGATAAGATTTTGAACAATAAAGACAAACCTTGTGGAACATAGTGTACCAGTGTGCATATTCCTAGACTATGGAAGACGTGGACATCCAAGGACACTTCAGCTTCTATCAAGTCACCGATACCTGTTGAGGGTGTAAAGAACACCATAGCTCACATTACAAGAGCAAGGTGGGTTATGAATTTCTTGTGCTGGGGACAGCGCAGTTCTTGTGTCGCAAGGAGTTTGTAATCAACGTATAGTCAGCAGTGAGGTGCGGACTTTTGAGTCCACACAAGTGTTGTCAGCGATCAGTGTCTGATATATGCTGACATAACACCTCCTAGGGGTAATTTATAACATACCTAATATACTTTATTTCAGTCCATTGAGAAGTGGTCAAGACAGCTTCTCAAGACCTCACCTGCAGGGGTAGCTGTGTGGGCAATAGCTGTCTTATCAGATAAGTTTTCCCTATATTTAAACTTCAACCTTAGCTGGTAAACCATTTCTCAACAGGTGATGTATATCTTAGTTGAAATTAATATAGGTCCAGAAGGGCTTGTGGAGATAGAG